TGGGGGCTGGAGTGATGGCTCAGCAGTTAAGAGCACTGACTGCTCTTGCAGAGGACCCAAGTTTGAATACCAGCATCCACATGGCAACTAACAGCTGTCTGTAACTCCAGTTCCACGGATCTGACAGCCTCTTCTGGCCTCCTCAGACATGGGTGCACTTACATATATGCAGGCAAAAAAGTCATGAGTATAAAATAAAAATAAATAAAGATTAAATAAAAATAATAAGTAAAATAAAATACATTTGGAGAAATGTGGTTTTATAGAAGGTCTGTATTGGATCTCACTAAACAGGCTTTGCTGTGTCTGTCTAGTGAGGGAGTCGACTTGATGGACAATCCTGTCATTCAGGAGATTGCAAAGAAGCATGGGAAGTCTCCTGCTCAGGTACATGGCATAACTGTCCTGTGCTGGGTGCAGACTTCTCCATGTTGACTCCCATCAGTCCTCAGGCTGGTCAGTCTCTAGCAAGAGGTTCACCTGGGTGAGCTGACACAGCAGAACTTCGTGTGGGCTCTTCAGTTGTTTGCTTCCACGTTCCCATTCTGTCGTCCCATCCACTCTTCCTTCCTCAACGGTCAGCACTTGGGATGAGCTCCCGGGACGCTCCCTCTGCCCCTCCAGTGGCAGGGACAACCAGTGTGACAGAACACAGAATTCCGTCGGTATGTGTAATGACTTGTTCTAATGCCCAGTTAATTTGTGGAATGGGACACATTAAGGGATTCTCAGTGGGAGTACTGACGGGTCCTCTGACCTCCTTATACTACCAGCAGTGAGTAAAGATGGACTGACAAAGTATTTGAATTTGATTTTTAAATGACTTTGGGATCAAAGAGACCTTTGAGCTCCCATTGTACAATACAGCTGAAGCATTCCAGTGGCTTAGATTTGATTCCATGGGATTTCTTCCCTTATGAAAGCCCCTTCCCCTTTGTTTCCTCCTGCAGATTTTGATCCTATTTCAGATCCAAAGGAATGTGATAGTAATTCCCAAATCTGTCACCCCAAGTCGGATTCGAGAGAATTTCGAGGTAGATGTCTTCCTGGTTTTACATTAGAAGGTTTCAGACCATGGGTTAGTTAGGGCTGGTCACTTCCGTAACAAGCAGTGCCCACCTCCTTGGCTTTCCCCAGCTGACATCTATTCTACGTGGTGTTGGTGACCAGCCTCTCATGTGGAGACACAGGACAGGCTCTTTCCATCCCAGGGCTACCCTCTCCCCCGGGCCTGGATGTCTTCTCCATTTAACACAAGAGGGGCATGGAGGTAAGAGGGACTCATCAGAAGACAGTATGACAAGCCCCGCATAGGAACACGCAACTTCCATTCACGTTGAGTTGTCAAGACACAATCATGCTGCTGCCACACTGACCCTCCGAGGACGCTATGTCTGCCCAGTGTATTCTCTGGAGCAAGGAATAGAGGGTTAGTGAGCATCTAGCCAGTCTGGCTCATTTGGGACATGTTTGCTGATGTGCAGCTGCCCTGGGTGTTGTGTTCAAGGATTACAGGTCTCACCTGTGTCTGGTCACATTTGATAGTCAGGAGTGAAAACTAGCACTGAGTATCTTAATTGGCTGGAACATGTGTAAAACACTGGGGGAAAGTCTTCCCTAAGATTCTTCTCCCAAGAATCACAGCAGAATTGTGATCTGAAGCTGACAGAGGAGAGTGTTGATGTGTGAGAGACACAGGAAGTGCCAGGCAGGCTGGGCTGGAGGAACTAGGAGCTGTGCACATGAGCTTAATCAGAAGAAAAGTGTCCAGGAGAGTGAGGGTGCTGAGGGCTTATCCTGTGAGGTGGCCAGAGGCTCACAGTACAAGTGCTCTCCCTAATAGCCCAGGGTATCCACTCAACAAGGCTGCACCGCTGCAGCCCCAGCCTTGATTTTAGAGGATGGTCTAACACTGTTGACTTCCCTCACTTAGTCCAAAAGAATTTTCAGGATAAGGATCTCCTAGGGTAGAGGTTGGGGTCCCATGGTTTCCTCCCCCACCCTCTGGTGGAGTCAAGGGATCTACCCTGTGTTGCTGCTTCTGGGAGTTAGTGCCTTAGCAGCAGTGGGTGACGGTCATTGTGAAATGCTGGTCTTGGGGACATTGCTCATAGATCTCAAGTGTAGGAGCAGAGAAAAGGGAGGAGAGGAGAGTACTGTTTGAAAATGAAGACAGAATTGCTCAAAGGATAGTGTGTGATTTGGTGCTACTAGAGTTAGTCGTTGCAGGAGACAACTTGCTCCTAGTTTGTCGGGGAGGGAAGGACAACTGGTTTTTCCTTTTGAGAGGAGATGGGTCAGTGGAGAAAATGCCTTGCTTCTTTAACTCTTCCTGTATTTTCTTCCCACCCATAAGATAAATGCAGTACATGTCTCATCTTTCCAAGGTTTCTAAAACATAGCTGAGGCTAAGCTCATGTCAGTCAAGTAATGGAAATCAAAGTGCATTTTGGGAAGGCGGGCTGCACTTCGGGGGATGTTCTGGGTGTCTAATTTGCCCAATGAAATTTGAGTTTTTCTGCATTTCCCCTGTGGTCTTCTCATTTTTGTTTCAGGTATTTGATTTTGAATTAACAGAGGAGGATATGGAAGAACTCCTCAATCTGAATAAG